GCCCTCCAGTTCAAGAGTCACAACTAGGGGATTATGCACCAATGGAACTGTAGATGATCTATTGATGTGGCATAAACATGTACCAAAAATATTACAAGTGCACAACCGTGTTAAGTTATAGTATAAAAAGTTATCGATCCCACGAGGAAAGTGTTTTGTAGGAGAAAATATAAATCGGTTCTTATATTGTGTGCGTGACAAATAGGAGTGAAGAATAAGTGTGATTGTGGAGAGATAACAAGAGTGAAAGTGATAGTGTGTAAATCAATGTGTTTAAGAGTGGATGTGAGTAAAAATAAATATGATCAACAAGGCAAGAAAAAAGAATGAATAAAATCGAGAAACAAATAGAAATCAAGAATGAAAATAAAATTCAAGAAAGTAAAGATGATGGCTTCAATTAAAGATATGGGTAATGTAGAATTGAATCTACTTTTTAGAAAAAGGTGATTCCCTAGAGGGTTCTAGCCTAAAAGCGAATCAAAGAAAATAAAAATAAACAAAAAGAAAAACTAAACCCAAAAGGGTTCTAACCTCAAGGTGAATAGTGTAAGAAAATAAAATGACGATTCCCTAGAGGGTTCTAGGCTAAAAGTGAATCAAAAAAAATAAATAAAAAATAAACAAAAAGGAAAACTAAACCCAAGAGGGTTCTAGCCTCAAGGTGAATAGTGCAAGAAATTAAAATCTAACTATAAAAATAAATTACAAAATCTAAACTACAAAATAAATTATAAGAATTAAATGTAAGAAAATAAATCTATTCTATAAGCATAAAATAAATCTAAGGCAAGCGGGTTCTAGCCTCTTGGCTATTTAAATAAGAAAATAAAATCTAACTACAAGCATGGAAATAAATCTAAACTAATAAACAATAAAAGAGAAATAAAAGAGGAAACAAACCTCTAAATTAATCTTCATCTCCATCTTCATCATCCAACAAAGAGAAGAAAAATTTAAAGTGGTGAAAAAATTATTTTATTAATTATAAAAAAAGTTATAAATTTGGAAGGTCTTCTCAATTAAGAGTGGCTCTCCTCTCCAAATGGAGTTACAAAAATTTTCACACCCCTAACCCCTTACTCTCTACCCCTATTTATAGTAAACATTAGTGAATGAGAGTCATTGGATCGAAATCTTATCCAAAAATATTAATTTTCAGTCATAGATCTGCAATTGCCTGCGGAGCTATCGATAAGGGCATCGATAAGCTTATCGATGTGTGCATCGATAAGCTTATCAATGTGAGCATCGATAGACGCATCGATGCGCCCATCGATGTGCCCATCGATGTGTGGTAGTTTCTTTTTCTGTCCGAGCTTCCTCCTTGTGTGTTGGGCTTTTGGCAACTTGGGCTTTTGGGCTTTTAGATAATTTGACAATTCTTAATTCTCCATTGGGCTTTGCTTCATTTCTTTATGCATTTGTTTTGGTTTTGGCTTTTCTTCATTAAATTAAGGGGTTTTTGTTGAGAGATGGGAGTTTGAGATTTATTCTTTATTAACCTGCAATTAAAAGATAAAAATAATTATTAGTGGTATATTTATTCATATAAAATAGATAATGAGGGTATAAAATTGTAATAAAATGTGATTATCATCTATCTACCTCTGCGCATTTTTTTACCCCTTTAATGAGTCAAGAAGATTAATTTAGGGATCTATCCGTACAACTAAAACTACATGGGGTATTTATCGGTAATTAGATGATACTGCTGGAGATCTAGTAGGATTTTTTTTAATGGTACAAGAAGATTTTGTTATTAGATATTAGATGTACGCATTGAAGAGAGCTTGTACTAGTTGCCCAAGTGTGTATAGTCCCCAAGTGAGCTTTTTGACTCTTTCAATAGTAAAAAACATTAGCACTTTGGGAGTCAATATACGTACCGGCCAATAGAACGCTAGGGAGTTTATCTATGTCTGCATTTTTTATTACATTTTAAGAGAAAATTACTCATGAAGTCTATTTGCACAATTAGAACTATGGGATTCTATTCGCAATTTGACGATACTAAAAAGGTCTATTCGTCAGTTTATTCTTTTTCTTATTGCTCTTACATTCAAGTGACTAATAAAAAGAAGTGAGATCTGTCTATTTCATATTAAAATACATAATATTTTTTTTATATATATTATGATTCTAAGGTCTTGTTTGGTACGCGAGAATGAGTGAGAATGGATTATCAATCCTCACTTCTCATTCCTTCTTAACACAGCCTCTTTTTTAAAGTTGGAATGTCCATTCCCACTTCTCATCAAATTCTTATTTTACGTGGGAATGAACATTCCCAATGAACTAATAGAGAATGAGCATTCCCATTTAAGTGAGAATTAATAAAATATAAAAATTTAAAATACGTCCATTCCCACTTCTTTTTATAATTGCTCCCTAACGTGAGAATGAAAATGAGTATTCCATTCTCAAATTAATTTCATTCTATTACTTAGTCCATTCCATTCTCATTTCCGTTGATTCTCACATGCCAAACGTGGCGTAATAGTTTATTAAAAATATAGTAAAGACAGATTCTGGTTGAGATGACCAAGCATTCGATTGGAACCTGTGTAGGTGGAGAGCGGTATTGGCTTGGATTCAGTTTAGATCTTACCTAGCAAAACATGATTCAATAAAGAGATAAAACCAATGCTTTTCATGCTCAATATAAAATGAGAAAAGTGATAGAAAACAGAAGTTATTACAGAGAGATTTTAGTACTCAATCATATTTAAGTGTTTCGATTAGCACGAGAATAAAACGAAATATGGATTAGTTTATTATATCCTAAGATATATTTTGAAGCGACGAGACATTTGTCAATATCGGAACCATAGAATAAGATGCCATGACATGTGAGAAAGTATCAAATGAATTTGCTTTATCATTTATGGTGCACCGCATAGTATATCAATTATTAGATCATTGGGCTTCTTAATTTGAAGTTGATTCTACGACTGATATCTTTTTGATACAACATTAATATCGTGAATCAAGACTTATATATACTTTCTCCGTGGGAGGAACCAAAATATGACCCGTATTGATCTTGAACTTTGTCTCCGCTCATTTATTGAGGGATTTACAGATGAGAATGGGCTTTTGGTAGGCCGAATTAGGGAGTTCATGGGTCAATCCCAGTTAAGTTACCATCTCTGCTTCTCCCTTTCACTTACCTCAGATTTAATTTCCTTAAAACCTATGCCTTAAATTAATCAATTTATTTATCAATAAAAACTATTATGAACTTGCTGGTGGAACCTAAACACCTTATACTATAACTTAGCAATAGATTTTAAGAAAACGAAAGAGGAAACATTTAGAGCAACCAGCAAACTTATGGGCTTCGCATTGTTTTCGCTGGGCCTCGATGGACTTTCTTCATCTCTGAACCAGATTTATATGAAGTCCGCCCCATAAACCCGAAGCCGCTCTCAAGTCTCAACCATCAACAACTGTAAGATTTCCAATCCTTTTTCAGGTTAAAGGGTTGGAGTAGCGAAATGTTCGTGCTTAGCTGATTCCTCTTGTCTGAAGATAGTAAGATAAGTTGCTGTTTGTAGTTGCAACGAATATAGAGGTTTATTGGATGAAATTTTTGTTATTGTTCTTGAAATCTCATTTTTTTTTTTTTTGCGAAAGAAGTATAATTATAACAACATGTAATAATCAGTGTGTAATTTTCTAACTATGCGTAGGATGCGGTCGCATGGCAATCGACTAAGATAATCTTTTTTTATAAGTTGAGGTTATGAATCTTCGATTCTTTGTAATATGGAGTTCGATAAAGTTTCAGTCGCGCAGCTTCCGTAGCATAGTGGTAGTGCGTTCGCTTCGTAAGCGAAAGGTCGCGAGTTCGATCCTCGCCGGGAGCTCTTGTTCCTTGCAATTATTGTCATTTTTCGTAAAATTTTCAGTTTAATACGATTTTACAAAATTTTTTTTGACCCTTTAAGCCTACAATTGTTTGTAGGCTATATTATTCAATTACTATTTTTATTTGACCCCAGTCATCACTTTGATATTTTTAAATTATTTCTAGTAACTTTTGTGCCTACAGCGTGATACATGTTTAATTATTTTAGAGGCTGATGTGGCGTGGACTAAATGATGTAGCAGGGAATGAAGGCGGGTCCTTAAACTAACATTGAGTTTGCCTTTTTCTTCTATTTCTCAAAATGATTCAAATTTTGTGAGAGAGAGAGGGAGATCGGGAGCACATTTCTAAAAATGTTTCAAACCCCGACGAGTGAGGTGTCCCCCTTAATGATGGCCAACTCATTATCCAATAGGAGGGGGACACATCACTTGTCTCCCTCTATTGGTCCCATATTTTGGGTCCCTGTAGCAAAGCTCTTTTTAATATGTAAGGTTTGAATAGAGGAGGTTGGGAATCGTATTTCTCAACTATCTGTGCTGGGTCGTTACTCACATGACCAGCATGCGTAAGCTCACAAAACTTGCCACTGGCAACACTTGATACCTAATTGCAGCAGCACCAAGCTTTGAATATCCAAAAAAAAAAAAATTTAGAGATATTTTAAATACCAAAATGGTAAGTAGGGTAAAAAAAGAAAAAATTAACCATCTCATAATTTAAGTCATTGTTTATGGGCGATTTTTTGTGGTTGTCTTTTGCTTTTAGGCTTATATGGGCCAATGACTAGATATATTTCAGTCGAGAGCTTATATTTTCGTTAGGCCTAATAGAATTTTGGGCCAGAAATCTATAAGCTTGCTGGGCCCTTAACTAGCAGCCCCTGCGGTGTCTCTCAGCTTCTCATCTCTTCCGTCTTTTTATTTTTATTTTTATTTTTACTTTTATTTTTTCCGCTCAAGGAACGAATCGTTAATGGCGACAGTCGACGACACCTCGAACAGCAGCAAAAGGCCCGTCGATATGGGGCCCATCGAAGAGCGAGGCGATGGATCGAGTACGCCGCCGGGCGAGGGCGCGGAGCTGAAGAAAACCGCCCTTCGCGGCGCGCGGCGAGCCGGCCTCTCTCACCGCCTCCGCCGCCGTCGAAGAATCCAAAGTCTCTCTCTCCCTCTCTCTCTCGAAAAATATAATCGAACTATTTCGTTGTTTTTGTAATTGTGATGCTGATCTCTCGTTGTTTGTTGTTCCTTAGGGTTTGATGGAATTGGCGAAGAGTCAGTACGAGATTCATGAAGAATTGGCCGTTGCCAAGATTAAAGGTCGCTTTTTTGTGTATTTAATAATTCAATGGACTTTAGGCTTTGATTTTGGAATTTGGATTTTGGGTTTTGCATACTTTTGCAGAGGGGATTCTGATTGCTGCTTCGCACCCGGAGATCTCTTGTGGAGCTGCTGCTGGATTGGGGCTTGTGGTATTTAAGAGTAATCCATTTTCCTTTTATTACTGCAATTTTGTTATGTCTTTCACCTTGCATCATATTGTTATGTTCAAGTTTGAGAAATTATTCATCTGTAGCTCGTAAAATTAGTAAATTGAAATCCACTGAAATTCTTGTGTGCATTGTGTTCTTTTTGAGTTATGTGCCCTGATCTGAAATTGGTGGCATCATACATAAAATGTGAGATGAAACTAGACTCTCTAGTACTCATTACTCTGTGGACGATGAAAATGAGCATAGTCAACCTCCAAAGTATGGATCAGCTGCTATGTCAACCCCGTTTTTTATTTAAAACAAGGGAAAAATGCTTCCAGCCCCCAAAACACAAAAAACATGCTTCCCCCCAAGACTTTTTCATACTCTTTTAAAAATAATAATTGAATATTTTAAAATACCAGAATTTTTTTTTCTAGTATCAAAATTTCTTGATCCTTACAGTGTTACATCTATTTTATTAATTCTACGTATTGTACATGTATTTATATATGTTTGCTGTGTATGTTACCACATAATTTTGGTCACATTTTACTGTATTGTACATGTATTTATATATGTTTGCTGTGTATGTTACCACATAATTTTGGTCACATTTTACTTTTCATGTACGTGTTTTATTACCATGTTTGCTGTGTATGTTACCACATAATTTTGGTCACATTTTACTTTTCATGTACGTGTTTTATTACCATTGTTATTTGGATATTTATCAAGTTATATGTTTTTCTTGTATGTGTTTTTATGTTGTCTTTAATTTTATTACTTTATTAGTTATTTTTGTTATTTGAGTTATATTGTTTATTGGTTAACATAGTTATTTCTTTCACGTTTCATCAGTAATTTCATAGTTTACTTAAAATAAGAAATGAGTGTTATAGGTTTATACAACTTAGTTACAGATTTTGCACATTGTAGATATCTTATTGTGTTTATTAGTTGTTTTTTCTCTATCTCTATTTTGTTTGGTTGTGTATGTTTTACTTTAATAATGTATCTTATTGTCTATTCATTAATTATTTCAATTATTATATTTATCAATTTTCTTTATACAAAAAGTCTCTGCATTACTGTTTTAATTAACTGTTCATGTCCATATGTCATTATTGTTTTGGAAATTATTACATGGCAGTTCATATATTGTATTACGTTTATTCTTTATGTATATTGGGTTTATAGTTTTGTATCATATTTGGTTATTCTAACAGTTATAATGATATAATGGTTATTGGTATATTTTTATATTGTGTTTGTTGTGTAAATGTTATGAGTACATAATTACATGATTGTTGCATATAATTCTATGTCTTTTATCTGCGTCCATTATTGATATGCTTTTTTTTCTTTCTATTGTCAATTATTATATGTTTATTTTTGCTTTACATATTACTATATGATATCGTGCATATCTTATTTTAATTCCGAGGGTGAAATTTATTTTAAGAGAGGTAGAATGTAAGGACCATGAATTTTAATACTAGTTAAAATAATTTTTTGGTATTTTAAAATATTTAATTATTATTTTTAAAAAGAGTATTGGCACTTTTCGATTTTCTAGAATTTTTTATGATTTAAAGTCCAAGTTTTATATTTAATTAAATGGGTTTTACACTTATAAAATTAGTTTAGTGCTCTAAAAATTTATAGAATTAATCTGTTGTATTATCGATACTATTACGTATCATTTTAAATAATACAATGTATTATTGTTATATTTTTGTATTATTTTCTATAATATGTAGTATTATTAATTATGTATTATTGGTATAAATTGTTGTATTATTTTAATTATTATGTATCAGCTGTCATATTAGCACAATTAGTACGTTTTGATTTGTAGATATTTATCCCATAATTATTTGATTTTAAATATAAGTAAATATATTTTTATTATTAATTATTCTTGTTTAATTGTATAATACGCGAATATTTCGACTATTTCGTATCAACTATTGTATTAGCTCAACATGTAAGTTTTTATTTATAGATAATTATTATGTAATTAGTTTAAATTTTAAATACCCAAAAGTATTTATTTTAAGGGAAAAATGCTTCCGGCCCCCAAATTCGTAATAAGTATGCTTCCCCCACCCAAGACTTTTTCAACGCTCTCAAAACCCCCAAATTCATAATAACTATGCACCGAGCCCCCAAAACACAAAGCCTAATAATTTTACACAGCTAAATACTATAATACCCTTTTCTCTCTCTTATGGGCATTGATCACCTCCTCCCCCCTCCAGTGCTTCTCCCTGATGTCCCTGTCCCCGACCGCCGTCATCCCCTACGGCGTCCGCGAGCTCATGTTCGACGAGCGCGGGCTCTACCTCCCCGACCACTGTCATTCCCTGCGTCGTCCGTGAGCTCAAGTCCGACGAGCGCGGGCTCTACCTCATCCACCTCCTCCCTCCTCAACTGCGCCAACCACATCGCCTCCTACTTCTCCGACGCCCTCAACCACAGCGCAACTCCGCAAGCGGACCCCACGTAGAGAGGGAAACCAAGAGACAAAGCCTCCCCAGATCTCTCTTCCATTATTTGATTTTGCTTTTCTAGCTTCGGTTTCAGTTTCGGCTTCGGGGGCGCCGTCGCTTTCGTCACCGACGCCGGCAAGAAGTGGGCCAAGAAGATCCGGGCGATTCGGTTTCGGGTTGTTGACGAAACCGACACAGATGCGGGTTCGGATGTTTGTAGTAGATTTCGCGATGGGTTGATAAGAGGAGAGTTTGGGGTTTGAGAATTGTCGTTGGGCGATGATGGAGGCTGGGTTTTGGAGCCCAATCGCGATCGAACCCATTTTTTGTGTTTTTTTATTTTTCTTTTTCGTTGATAGGACGATGAAATCATCATCGATTTTGTTGTAAATGGGTCTTTATGCTTTCATCGTCCAAGCATAAAGAAAGCATAAAGCCCGTAACCTGATGATTTATGCTGTATGTGATGATTTCAAAGTGGATAGCGTCCATGGATAATACCCTTTATCTCTCTTATGGGTGATGATGGGACGATGAAATTTTCAAAAGCCAAGTGATTTACGTATTGTTGTTAAGGTTAAGGGTTGTTGCTAAAGTTAAGCGTTGGTTGTTAAGGTTATACGTGTTGGTTGTTAAGGTTATGTGTTGTTTGTTAAAGTTACGCGTTGGTTGTTAAGGTTACGGGTTGGTTGTTAATGTTATACGTGTTAGTTGTTAAGGTTACAGATTGGTTGTTAAGGTTAAGCATTGGTTGTTAAGGTTAAACGTTGGTTGTTAAGGTTAAGCGTTGGTTGTTAAGGTTGCGGGTTGTTTGTTAAAGTTACGTGTTGGTTGTTAAGGTTACGGGTTGATTGTTAAGGTTATACGTGTTGGTTGTTAAGGTTATACATGTTGGTTGTTAATGTTACGGGTTGCTGTTAAGGTTATGCGTTGGTTGTTAAGATTAAGTGTTGGTTGTTAAGGTTATACGCGTTGGTTATTAAGGTTACAGGTTACTGTTAAGGTTACGCGTTGGTTGTTAAGGTTAAGCGATGATTGTTAAGGTTATATACGTTGGTTGTTAAGGTTAGGGGTTGTTTATTAATGTTACGCGTACAAACATTCTCGTACGAACATGTTTAAAGTGTAAATCAAGTACGTCTTAAATACTAAAAAATGATATTAAAAAAAAGGAATAATGACAAGTCACTACTACGTACAAACATTCTCGTTATAGAAGTGGTCATTTTCTGCCCATTGTGAAATTATCATATTCGAACAAACCCATAAAATTCCATACTTTTTGAGCAAGCCCCAAAATTAACAACCAACTTGTATTACTCAAAATATTATGGTCATTTTCCATACTATTCGAACAAGTCACTACTACGTACAAACTTTCATGTTTTTTTTTCTGGGATGTTTTACTCATAATATTGCTTCTCATGTGATCTTTGTTCTTTTTCATCCTACAGGGCCAAGACGATTTCTGATTCGCAATACAAGGCGTTTATTTATGAGTGAAGAGGTCATAATATCTCGTTTCTTTTTTGCTTTTATTTTGTATTAAATATGTCATCATTTGTCTTAATAGTTAATACATGATCGTACCATTGAAGGTATTATAATATTATAACGATTTTGATGTTTGATTTCTACGTCTAATATTCTTTCTGTTATACAATTTGACTAGTTGCTTTACTACCTTTAATTGTTTAGATATCATAATTCATAGAGCAGACTCCTGTAATTTGCAAATTAATCACATTGTCTATCGGTCCTCTAACTATGCCAAATCTGTGTTTCCACCATGATTTCTTATTATCGCATGGGTGCCAATATTTTTATGAAACTTATTGATATGTGAGAATTGATTCATGTCTTGTCTCCAGTCATTGTTGTCTGATGCTGAAGCCAAAGTTAATGAGCTACGGCAGTCAATGAATCTCGTGAAGAATGAAAGTAGAAAACTGGAGGTATTTCCTCAGTTCTTGATAAGTCTTAATTGATTTTTTATGTTGTCTGATGTTTTCTTATGACTGGTTTCAGTTTAATACGACTGCTTGCACTTAATTGTTGAGAGCTGTATATAAACTATTGCATGCCTCTGGAATCATGTTATTTTTGTAAAGACATGCACATGACACTTCCTATCACTTCTACTTTATGATCATGTTGGCTGAACAATTATTTGTTTTTTTACTTTGTCCTGACCCCTGCCGAAAGTAAAAGAAGAAAAACTAATAATAGCAATAACAATAAACGCATAAATAAATACCATAGAAAAATTTCCATATGCGTTTGTCTATTTTGGCATCACTAGTAAACGGAAGATTACATTCATCAATGAAGATATTTAATCTCCTAATTTTCCAATGGACTATTCTTTCCCATATATCCAATTAATGAATTTCCTTACATTAATTCCTTTATAGAAAAGTAGAAATTGGATAATATAGCGCCGATGCTTCAAAGAAGTACTCATGTCTGTTACCTATTGGATGCTTGGACACTCTTGATGGATATGTTGGGTACTCCTTTCAGTGTATCCTAAATTTTGCATTACATCGTAGACATAATGCATAAATATTATGTATGTAACTCTCGAAGGACCCTTTTACTACACCAAAACTCCGAGGTTGTGGTGTGTGTTGAGAGTTATAATTTTATATTTGGACATGCCCACCGTTTTTAAAAGCCTCCGCCTAGTCTATCGAGGTTGTCTAACTAGTGTCAAACGTCTAGGTGTAGAGAGTGTTTAGAGGAGCATTGTCTGCTTACGTGGATTGCACTCTTTAGGCATTGATCATGATTCTCTGTGTTGCAGCCTCCACGTCCTTCAAACTCCTTTTAACCTCAAAAGATGAACACCTCGACTACCACTTAAATGAAGAAAGAATTTTTTTCTTAAACACCAGTTCAGCTCCTGAGCTTTTGATAACATTGACATTTACTATCAATTACTGTAATTAAAAGAGAAAAAGAAAACTATTTGCGAGAAAAATAAGAAGAAAATTTAGAAGAAATGTTATTAATTCTCCCTACTTGACATAGAAAAAGAATGAATACAAACTCTCTTTACAATCTCTCTTTAACTAACTTAGAAAAAAAAAATTTCTTTATCAGTTTTTCGATTTACAAAAGAGAGAAAGATCAACGAAGATCATTCTCATTGTTTAATTCTGGGTTCTTCTTGGGTGGCGATGAGAGTTTGAATCTTGTATCTCGTTGACGATCCGAGCACCTTGTTTCGTGGAACGTTGTCTACTCTTAACTTAGCGTCTTGGGAGAACTTGCAAAGCAAGTTTGAAAACTCTAAACAAGTTTAAGAACTCTGCGAAAGAGTTAATTTCAGAAAGGAAACTTAATCCTTTTTCTATTGAAATAAGCTAAACAGCTGATTTTAATGCTCTTCAATCGAAAATGGTTCGAAAAGTTAAGCTTTCAAAACTCCAAAAGCTCAAACCAAAAACAACTCAAAGATGATCCAAAGAAGGATCTTTATTCAGCTAACTTCTTAGTTATTTATAGGGTTTAAAGGGTGTAACTGACCCTTTAATTTGCTCCATAATGGGTGATTAATGGGCCCATTATATGGAAAAATAATTTTAAAACCGTTCAAATCGTGTTTGAAATAGTCAAACGCGAGGTTCACGTTCTGAAGCGAGTCTCGCGTTCAGCTTTGTGAAACGCGGAGGTGATCCTCATGTTTTGGAGTTAAAACGCGAGGATGACCCTCGCGTTTCGAAATTGGAACTCGGGGGTGACCCTCGCGTTTTGAAATTGTAATGCGTGGCTGACCCTCGCATTTTTGAATTGTAAGAGTGGCCCTCACGTTTTGAAATTGGAATGCGGGAGTGGCCCTCGCGTTTTGAAAGTGGAACGCGGGGGTGAACCCTCGCGTTTTGGAGTTGGAACGCGAGGGTGGACCCTCACGTTTTTCTTTGAAGAGATCGTTAATTGTAATCTCTCTTTCAAGTTCTACAAAGATCGTTATTTTGAAATATTTGCATTTAGCTTTTTGAAGTATGAGAGTCGTCAAATTGTAACTCACGTCTGTTATCGTGAAAGTCGTCAGATTATAACTTTCATCGTCAGTATTAACTATCTGTAATAATTTTTTGACTACCTACAGAACCCCCTCCAAAGTTTTTAAAAGTTTACGGTTGACTGAAATGAATATTCGAAATACTTTAGATCTCAGTTTTGATCTTGGAACAGTGTACTGTTGATTCTTTATCATAAAGGAGTTGCTCACTGCATCCGTCTCGAAGGCATCATGAATTTGGTTGCAGAGATTTGACACGTAAGACTCGAGTTTTGCTTTTGCAAATGCGAGGGTTGCGTCTGATCTTTGGAACGCGAGGGTGTGAACCACGCGTTTTGCTTTTGAAACGTGGGGGTGACCCACACGTTTTGTTTTTGAAACGCGGAGGTGACCTTCGCGTTTTGATATTGGACCACGGGGTGACCCTCGCGTTTTGACAATGAACACTTGCTATTCTGTTTGAAAGAATTAACAAGTTCATGGGGGTTTAACTGTTAGAGGTGTGATGTTAACATAATAGTAATTTGTGGACTTATCATCCTATTGAAGATGATTGCTAAGTTGATTTTTTTTATCAGAGGTGTAGTGTTAACTTGATGAGTTTTGAGGATTTATCATTCTATTGAAGAGAGTTGATAAGTTGATTTTATCATCAGATGTGTAGTGTTAACTTGATGTTATTTGATACTTGTGATTTGAACAAGATTTTTGTGGACTTATCATCCTATTAGAGAGTTGATTTCATCATCAGAGGTGTAGTGTTAACTTGATGATATTTGATACTTTCAGAATCTTGATTCAAACTCCTTGGGGACATGTAAAGATTTTGACAATCAGAGGTGTATTGTTAACTTGATAGAATTGTGTTGCGATTTAAATAACTTAATGGATTTATCATCCTATTGAAGAGGATTAATAAGTTAATTTTGTCATCAGAGGTGTAATATTAACTTGACGAGATTGTGTTGCGATTTGAGTAACTTTATGGACTTATCATCCTATTAAAGAGAATTGATAAGTTGATTTTGACGCCAAGGGTTTAATGTTAACTTGATGGGATTGTGTTACGTTTTGAGCAATTTTATGAACTTATCATCCTATTAAAGAGGATTAATAAGTTGATTTTGGCGTCAGAGATGTAATGTTAACTTGACGGGATTGTGTTGTGATTTGAGCAATTTTATGGACTTATCATCCTATTAAAGAGGATTGATAAGTTGATTTTGGCGTCAGAGGTGTAATGTTAACTTGACGAGATTGTGCTGTCATTTGAGTAATTTTGTGGACTTATCATCCTATTGAAGAGGATTGATAAGTTGATTTTGTTTGGAAGAGCTTGCTACTTCAAGAATGAGACAAGTTGAATTCGAACTCCGTGGAGATGTTAATCGTCAGAAGTGTAATGTTAACTCGACGATATACTAGCTAGGGATGGTTTTGTGAATTTTGTAGTTGACAGAGGTATTTTGTTAAACATGTTAACTTTTGTGGTCTTATCATCTTGCTGGATAAGATTGATAAGTTAGCTAGGGAAGATTTTTGCAGTTGACAGAGGTGTTTTGTTGAACATGATAACTTAAAAGATTCGTTACTCTTAATCCAGTGAATTTCAAGTAACCAACCCACAGTCTTGAGTGAGTTCAATTTCTCTTTTTAGACTTAGCAGGGGAGGAGAAAGTGGGTCTCATGATTTTTATTAGTAATACTTCTTAAGAAAATTTTCATTAATTGACATTATGAGCCTATTAACTTTTTGATTAATGAGACGGTAAGCTCTGTTCTAGTAGACTGACTCTACCACGAAAGGTCTTTCCTATCTGGGATTGAAATTTTATTTTGTCTTGTACGTCATGACCATTGGTCGTCTGGCTGCTAAGACAAGATCATATTTTTTGAAGATCCTTTCTTTGACCTTATTGTTTTAGGCTTTAGAGATTCGAGCTTAGTATAACTCGATCTGTTGTTAGGCTTGAAGCCGTTTATCACTTTCAGTTCTTGGAGGTGTAGTCGATGTTGTTCATTATCTGTCATCCCGGTTGTAAGAGCAAGTCTTAGGGATGAGATCTGAATTTCTTATGGTAATACAGCTTCATATCCGTAAACCAAAGAAAAGGAAGTAGCTTCTTTGGGATTGTCGGGAAGTATGTCGTACAAGACATAATCGACGAAAGGGAATCGCCAATCCCTTAGTTCGAGGCCTGCGGAAGTTTCGTAGACGATCTCTGTTGTTGCCTCTTCTGTATAGTCTTCTAGAGGGGACTTGATGTGATACAAGTCACGACCTGTGACGAATACCTTTGTTTTTGCTTATGGTAACAATGCTGCTAATGAAGCCGAAGCATCCGCATACGCGTTTTGTTGACGTGGAATGTATCCGATAAAGAAGCCTTCAAAATTTTAGGCTAACTTTAACGCCGCGAAGTGGTAAGGCAACAAGTCCTCATTACGCACTATAGATTTCCTTGGTCAATTGCATTCCTAACAACAAAGCATCATACTCTGCTATATTGTTGGTGCATGACTCGGTTAAGGAGAATCCTTTCGGAATCACGAATCCAGTTAGGGATATAAGTACAACCCTTACTCTGTTTTAGGAGAATCTGGTACCGGATGGTCAGCTAAGAAATCTGTCAGGACTTGTCCTTTAACAGCTTTCTTGGGTATAAATCGCATCTCGTGTTGCGATAACAGTAAGGCCTATTTTGCGAGATGACAGTTCAATGAAGACGATCTCGTCATGAGCATCCAGGTGAATACCAAGGTTAGATACTCTTTCTCCTAGGTTTCCTTGATACACTTGTCCACTGCTGATCGTCAAGTAGATCAGAATGGACCCACATTATCTCTCCTTTCGGAATAGCAAGGGGTATCAACCTTTTATCTTTCTGACCATACGGGTCAATATTCAGGTGTAGCTTCCCTTTAGGG